GCATGCCTCCTATGGACTATGCCGGGGGCGGGCAAAGGGACCGCCTTTTGTGACTTCAGTGCACGCATCAGTGTACGCCGTGCTGCCTGAGAGTTGGTGCTGTGTCCTCAGGGAGTCGGCGTCTGTAACAACACTGACCTCCTCATCCTCCACCTCCTCCTCCTCCTCCTCCTCCTCCTCCTCCTCCTCCTCCTACTAACTCGCCTTCCGATCCAGGAAGAGGCGACGTGGATGTATCCTCGTTCCCGTTACGGACGCTTGCTGGAATACGTCCTCGTTTGGGGTCATGACGAACGTGACGTGCTCGTGACTGAGCCGATGTCTGATGCCGACTGGTATTTCCTGGAAAAGACTGCGAATCCAACCCTGCAGGCTACCACAAGGTAAGCGACCACCTGCTGAATTTGTTTGATCCCGGCTGGGATTTCAACGATCAACTGATCACTGCCTGGAAAAACCGTAGACTCTGGAAGACAACATCTTTGTGGTAATGTAATAGTGCCAACTGCGAAATGCCATCCAAATCACTGCTATGGGTGCACTTCGTTCTGCACACCACCAATATCAGGATTGGTTCGACGACAACGACGGAGAAATACACGATATGCTCTCCAAGAAGAACAGGCCGCACGCAGTCTACATTAACCGTTGGACCAACGCAAACGAAGCAGCCTTCTTCCGTTGTCTACGCCTGGTGCAACGATGACTGTGAGAGATGCCAAATGTTAGGGTAGATTGCAAGGCTAAAGAGATATAAGGCTACGTGGACCGCAACGGAGTGAGGCATTTCTTTGACTCAACCAAGACGGCTTATGGCCCCCGAACCGAGGAAATTGAGCTGCTGCTCAACTCTGACGGAACAAAGTTCCTCATTGAGAAATCATCGATTATAAAGCGCTGGGCAGAGCACTTCAGCAGCGTCCACAATCGGTCATTTAAAATTTTCGACGACGCCATCAACAGACTCCTGCGGTGCCGCCCTCTCTGCAAGAGACCACCAAGGCTGTACACCAGTTGTCAACCGGCAAGGCACCAGGGGCCGACGTAATTCCTGCCGAAGTCTGCAAGGATAGCGGCTCTCGGATGCTGCGAAAACTGAGTTCGCTCATCCAGAAAATGTGGCGACAAGGACAAATCCCTCAATACTTCAAAGAAGCGACGCTTGTTCACATACATAAGCGCAAAGGAAACCGACATCTCTATGACAATCGCAGAGGCATCTTACTATTCAGCATCGCAGGGGAGGTCTTCGCTTGAGTCTTCCCCGACCCCTGAGACACGTAAGGGGTATAGCTACTTCTCTCAGCAAGACAGTGTGAGTTTCGCAGGAACCGCGGAACCACCGACATGATCCCTGTCTCACGCTAACTACAGCAGAAATGCCAAGATATGCGGATCAACCTCTTCGCCGATTTAACGAAGATCTTCGACAGAGTCAGCCACGATGGTCGCTGGAAAACGTTGCAAAAATATGGGTATCCGGAGAACCTTGCACAAATGGGGCGTCTAGTTCACGATATGATGATGTCTCATCTCACGGACGATGGGGTACTATCTGAAGCTTTCGCGGCAACCAATGGGGTCAAGCACGCCTGCGTCCTAGTTCCCACCACATCAAGTATCATATTCTCCTTTATGCTGATAAACTTCTATCGTCCGGAGTGGTCAGCGATCGAAATCCACATTCCAGCCGACGAAAAACTATTTAATATCCGTCGCCTGACTCCTAGACTTATGGTCCACGGATGACTGTGCGCTAAGCATCACAACTGAAAAGGCCATGCAGCGGAGTGTGGAACCCTTCGCTTCCGGCTGCTCCAACTTTGTACTGACAATAAGCACGGGGAAAGAGTGGTCACGTATTCGTCAGCGCCAAACGTTGACTATGATGAATCCCATATCTACTTCAATGGAGCTCAGCTTGCGGCAACCAACAAATTCTCCTACCTCGAGAGTTTGACCGCCGTGTCCGACGATGTCCACCGTGGGTCCCACAGCACAGAAATGTCAAGATTAATGATGAAGTCGCCAATCAGATCTCCAAAGCCAGCCAGGCCTTCGACCGGCTACAAGACTCAATGTGGAATTGTATTGAACTTCCACTCAACACGAAACTGGTGTACAGGTCGGAGACATGGGCCGCCTACAACAACTGAGCTAGGAAATTGAACCATTTCCACCCTGGCTGCCACCGAAAAATACTGAAACTGAGGTGACCAGGCAGAATACCAGACGCGAGAGTCCTAGAAAGAACCGGAATCCACAACATCCACGCCATACCGAGGCATACCCAATTGCGATGGAGTGGCCATGTCGTGAGCATGGACAAGAGAGCCTACCAACCGGCTATCCGAAGCATTCTTCTTCGTTTTTACGAAATCCCAAACTGTGATTAACATTTAATTGTCCTTCAAAGCATAAGGGCATTTTGGGATGGAATGTATCGGGAAATTCACTTTACCCGTGCAGCACAGCGACGAGATCTTGCTCTTGCCGACCTTTCTAGTCGAAAGCTTTTGAAACAAAAAGGGGTCACTTTCACAAGCCGTGTATCAGCAATAAACGAGTGTTTTCTTGACCAATAGGCACGAAAAGTGAACTTCGGCTCGGTGAGACGGCAAACGTGACCAAGAATGCTGGTACCGTGGGCGGAGCCCAGTGGACGTACTAATTTATGTTACTTATCTCACTCTTTACAAAAGCCCAGAATTCGTCCTGGAGGGAAGCACTTCGGTTTGGTCCTAATGGTTATTTCCAGTAAAGAATCAAAGTGCTGAAATTCGAAAAAAGTCTTGAGTAGTATTCAAACTTTCCTAAGATTTCCGTTAGTTCAAAAAGTCTCCAACAACTTCTAACCGCAGACGTTAAGCTTGGTATTCAACGAAAAATCTCAGGTCTTCAAAACTTTGGAGCTAAAGTAGCGCCAGCCAACGGCACTGATAAACAATAAGTTGCAATTTCTATCTGCATTGCCTTTTCCAATAGTACTTTGGCGTTGTCGACCACGCGCCATCGTCTAACTACTGGCGAGGGCTATGGACTAGAGCCCCAGATCAAAACGGTACGGCCATATTCCGCCCAACAACCAGGCCATATTGTCGGCTCGTTTTATCTGACCCTTACTAGTCCTCTGTACTGTTGTAAGTCACAGGATGCGCCATGCCACAAGTTTCCTCAGTCTAGAGTTCAGGAACGCAAACCGATGAGCTTTACCCCGGGGTGTGTCAACAGGATGTGAGGCGATTTCAGTTGACATGTCCATCCTGTGCACCTGCAATTATCTTGGCTCTTTATTCGTAGTTATTCTCTACTGTTGTGGGTTCCTTTTAACGGCCTAATACTCTGTTGTGCTCCCAAGTGCGATGAAAGGTATGTTTTAGTATTATTAAGGTTAACTGATCATCGGGTGGTTTTCGCCCCATGAACTCGTACATACGCACTTTCTTCTTCTTCTTCTTCTTCTTCTTCTTCTTCTTCTGCTTGTCCCCTCCCACAAAGAACGTGCAAACTTACGAGCTTTTAGTTCACGAGAGACCTAGGACATTTTCATTTCTACCGCAACTTGGAGTAAAGCCCTGATTCATATTCAAGGGAAGGGATGGGGCGGGGAAGGAAGAATGAGCCAAGAAAATGAACGATTTTCACTCTTTGTTTCCTTGTCCTCATTAGCCAAAGTTAAAGTATTTGTTTTGTAATTGTGCAACTGTTCATAGACAACGAGCTGTTGTGCTTGCGGAGGAGTTAGGAGCTGACATGGCTGTACTCAATTCCTCTCACGGTCGGCACATTACGCACGTGTGTTTGGAACTCCGCAAATCTTCGTCATGTCTGTTCACGCCATTAAACTTTGCTAGTAAGTCAAACGTCCTACACTACTAACCCCACCCCGCCGGGCAGAATGCCTGTGTTTTACGGACTGGTGGTTGCCTGAGGACGATGCTATGTGCCAAGACCGACAGCTCGTAAAAGAGCATCGATGTCGACCTTTGAAAAACTCACAGCGTCTACGACACCTGATAGTGAAGAGGGGAGAAAAGGTAGATAAAAAATGAATGGAAGCAGATTGCTCAGACTAGGTGACAACTGGCGACAAATATATGTACAGTTAACGGACCCTTGCGCATGCAATGTTCACAAGGCCATCAAAGTTTTGAATGTTTGAAAAAGGCGTGGCTCACTACGGTTTGGGGACCTAACAATTTCACACCTAGACCTTGCGTACCTTGCTCCGCCTACCCATTCAAATCAGTGTTTTCAGCTGTTATGAATATGGCATAGTCATATGTTGATGGTCGAGTGGAAGGCGCGAACAGACACTGGCAGGTAGAAGTGAGGAGTTGTGGAGGAGGGAGACGCGGGAATGAATCAAGATAGAGGCTGATGACTGAGGACATCTGGGCCATCAACTACCACTGTAATGTGTCCGACTAGAAAGTTTTTACCAAGATCAATTAAACAGTTTACTTCATTTCAACTTTATTTATGCAAATATAGTGTTAAATCTGGAACTGTCTTCCCTCTTCTAGATTTCCGCCATGGTGACTCTTATCCCTCACTGACTAGTAACTTTGTACGTTTTGCTCTAAAGTATGACTGCTTCGTTTAACTAACGTCATGATAACCATGTTCTCCCATAAAAAGCAAGTTAAGAAGAGGAGATACAGTGTTCAATTAAGGGTTTCCATTGTTTTTTAGGCTTAGTTATTCTAAACAAATGATGAGGAAGATATAGAAAGGCGGATATTCTTGGAACTCAACGATCATAAAATGCACCAAATTTGTACCTTATTGCAATCAACTGTAAGTTTAACTGCGGTGTCGCTTATCGAACTGGAATACAAAGATTTTTCGCAGACATTTTGCTACACTGAAATGTGTCCAAACTTTCTATGGTAGATGCAGCACCGTGACTCTACTTCCCATCGAACCCTGTCGACTGTTCATAACTGTGTGCTTTTGGTTCCACATGAGAGAGTGCTGAGAGTGAGCCTGGACGGTGGATTTATGTCGACCTGGAATGCACTGGAACTTAAGTACGAAATCCTGGTCAGCGAGACACCCATCTAGAAAATGTAGGTGTCTCAACTACTCTAATGCAGCAGTCAACCGTTTTCGTCTAAAGGTGACTTGAGAACAAAATGCGTGGTTTTTGAGTTACTCGTCCTTTTTTCTATTTAAATGCATATCTGAAAGCAGACTTCTATATGATTATGTAACGGTGGGATCAGTTCCTTTCACGTAGTTTTTCGATGTCTCGCAGAGCCCAACGTATCTTAGCTTATATGCCGAACTTCGGGATTAATCCTCGTCTATAATAACCCTACCGCAAAACCTGAAATGCCACCGGCCTCATTTGGTCTTTGACTAACTCATATTCTGAATTTTCT